GAGGAAATCTGTGTATCACGTCTGAACTATGAACATGACAGTGACACCCAACAGAGTGGGAAAAAGGCCACTAAGACGCTGGCACCCCAGTGCTTTGAAGAGAGCGAGGCTCTGAGAGAAGGGGCCTCTTGGCCCAGGTCTCCAGGGACATCCAAGGACACCAGTGGAAGGGCTGTGAGGAGCTAGCACAGATCACGTAGACCCACGGCTGGAAAGTACATTATTAGGCAAGAGCTCAAGCAAATGGCCTCATCACATCCAGGCAACAGAGTCCCCCAGTGCCAACCAGAGGACTGTTGTTAGGAGGAGCTGGGAGGAGCCACACAACCCAGGCCCCTGATGGATAGCTCTGGTGGGGGTGGAGTGAGCATAGAATTGTGTTTTTGAACAATCATTCCAAGGAATCCACTACCACACACACACGGTAACCCAGAAGTGACTCCCCTCCCCACTGTAGAGTTCAGGCTCCTTCTCCTGCCATGGGATGTGAGAAGCAGGATTCTGCCCCTTGTATTCGTGTGTGGCTTCCCAGAGACTAAGGGTAGAGAAGCATGGTCATCCCCATCCCCAGCACATAGCTCAGCCACTGACAACAGGGTCGCACCAACAAATAATTAAAGAATGAAGGACAGGGCCCAGATCCAGTTATGCACACTCTTGTGTTTGTTCTTAATGGCTAGAGACTCGCATAAAATGGAAATCCTGATCTCACCAGTCTGATATATTTTGGGTCCCAAGACTCAGGATCCACAGAAGACTGTTAAGAATCAGACTCAAGGGGGGCAGAAGAGGCAGGCAAATCTCTGTGAGTTCAAGATCAGTCTGATCTACATAGGTTCAAGCCAGCCAAAGCTACATAGTGAGAACCTGTCTCAAAAAGCAAAAATTAAAAGAAAAGTTCATTTTCTGGCAGAGGTGATGCATACTTTTAACCCCAGCATTTGGAAGGCAGAGACAGGTGGATCTCTGAGTTCTAGGCCAGCCTGGTCTACAGAGTGAGCTCCAGGATAGCCAGGGCTACACAGAGAAACCCTGTCTTGAAAAACAAAGAAGGAGGACGAGAAGGAAAAAGAAGAATGACAAGAATGAACAAGAACAAGAATGAACAAGAAAGAGAATGAACTAGAACAAGGAAGAACAAGAACAAGACTCAGCACCCAGGAGAATAACTGAAATTGCTACAGCCAGGACACTCAGTGACTCTGTCTGGGGCGGGAAGAGCCTGTGGTAGAATGTTATTTTAACTAGGCAAAGATGTGTTACTTTGTTTATGCTGAGGAATGTTACTTAAGCTGTGTTAAAGCTTGTTGCTTTTGTTTATGCTGTATTTGTTTAATGATGTAAGGACGTGTGTTTAACTATGAAAAGCATCTTTTTACCTTGCCTGCCTATGGTACCTGATTGGTTTAATAAAAAGCTGAACAGCCAATAGCTACTCAGAGAAAGGATAGGTGGAGCTAACAGGCAGAGAGAATAAATAGGAGAACCCTAGGCTCAAAAAGAAGAAAAGAACAAAAGGAGAGAATGAGGGAGACGCCTGGGACAAGAAGCCAGGCAGACACAGAGAGGCAGTGAAAGTTAGGTATGCAGAATTAAGAAAGCAAAAGGTAGATAAAGCGAACAGGTTAATTTAAAAGAGCTAGCCAGAAACATGCCTGAGCTAGGCTGAGCATTCAAAGCTAATAATAAGTCTCTGTGTTGTGATTTGGGAGCTGGTTGGTGGCCTAAAAGAAAAAGGCTGGGATAAGAGCCAGCCAGGTCTGATCCTTTTGCTTCTGGCCCAAGCCAAGTGGTTGATGGGAACACAGGAGGAGCAGCGACTCAACCCTCATACTGTCCCTCCTGTCATTTCCTGTAGGGTACTCCCCAGTTGGGATTTCCCACACCCAGGAACCGCCTCCTGGACATCTGATGAATGCGAACGGCTAAGCTCCCTCCCTCTCCCGAAGGTCCAGCCCTTTGGTGAGCTGGCACTTGCTTCCGTTCCCAGGTCATTCACAGCCCTACTGAAAAGCTGCTTTTGTGTCTTTCCCAAGCCTATCACAGCCCAACTGGGTGCCACTTCAGGTCACGCCCACTTTGCACAGACGCCTCTCCGTCATGTCCCCTGGTGTCCAGGTGCACGGACTTTATTTCCCACCCATTGGACCATGGGGTTCTTATGGAAAGATCCCCTGGCTGCTGAGACTTACTCAACACAGTGGCACTTACTCAAGACTAGGTGGCCCACTGACCCCCATCACATTCTCGTGGTGCACTGACCAAGATCTGCACCTGGAGGAAAAAGCCTGAAGTCCCTCTCAGCAGTAAGCAACATCTCTCCCGGGCTGATCCACAGTCGTGAGAGGCCTCGGTCCCTTTCCTTGCTGAGGTTAGGGTTGACTACTTAGAAGCAGGTCTAGCTTACAGCATTAAAGTGATGAAGAAGTAGGCAGAGCTCCTATTGGCCATTCCACGAAGCTCTTTCTGTCCTTGCCCACTGTCATCTCTGGAGGGTGACCCTGATCCCCAGAGCTAACGTGGATGCCAGGGCTCCAACCACCACACTCCTGTTGTAGTCGGAAAAGACCTCCCTGAAAGACCACCCAGTGCCTTCACACTGAACGGAAGAGGTCATATGACCAAACTCAGATATATCAGAGACCAGGAAATGCAGCCTTTAATCCAGGGATTAGGAATGCGGAACTGTCTGCAGGACTGCTCACCTCGCTAGACTAGAGGAAGCTGGGGAGTACACAGGTGAAACCTGCCTGGCCGTGGAAGGAACGTGGGGCCAAGAGGAGGCACTTGAGAGTATGCATGAACATTACAGGATGTCAGGGAACTGTGGCTCATTTTCTTAGATATAGCTATAGATTAATGGCAATTTAGGAATATATATGTATTCTCAAATAGTTCAAGTTATTATTTACTTAGGAATAAATTAAAATACAGTATATAAACAGCTTTACAAAGATTGACAGAGTAAACAGACAAGAAAAGACAGAATTCCCAAGTCTAGATGGACTATGGGTATTATCCCACTTGTTTAGATTTTCTGCACATCTCAAATTTCTTATTATAAATATTAGGGACAGGGCTGGAGAGATGGCTCAGTGGTTAAGAGCATTGCCTGCTCTTTCAAAGGTCCTGAGTTCAATTCCCGGCAACCACATGGTGGCTCACAACCATCTATAATGAGGTCTGCTGCCCTCTTCTGGTCTTCAGACATACACACAGACAGAATATTGTGTGTGTGTGTGTGTGTGTGTGTGTGTGTGTGTGTGTGTGTGTGTGTATTAGGTAAATTTAAAATAAATAAATATTAGGGACAGTCATTCTGCATCTGGTTTGGCTGTCCCAAGGCTTTCTCGTGGTGAGGCTCCCGGTGAAAGGCAGGGACTCGAACCAGTCAAAGCAAAGGGCAATGAGATTGATCCCTACAGTCCTGGCCAGGGTGCACGAGTCATCCAGGACCTCCTGTCCCCAGCTGGGGGGAGTTGTTCTGTGTACCTCTTAGCGCCCTCCTGGGCTTCCTGGCTCATTGCTGCCAAGAGTAGGTACAGACCTAGACTGGAAACCTAGATTTGCATCTAGCCCATAAGCCAGTTCACAGCACATACTGTGAGGACTGGAGATGCCACGTCAGGCGTGAAGATGTCTGACTTCTCTTAGCAGGTCAAACAACACGGTGCTTTCCCAGCATAGCCTCTGGCTGACCGTCCTTCCCCACCGCGAGCACAGCCCAAAGAACTCACACTTGATAGCCCTGTCGTGAGGCCCAGGATGACGACACCAGTGATCTCGGGTGCCCTCCAGACTAGGTCCCCAAGCTTCTCCACACCATGTCGTTTTCCATTTGTCTATGTTACCCACAATCGGATGGCATGCTTTCCTGTTCCTCTTCATGGGCAACTGGATACAAAAGTACTGGCCACAGAACCACATCAGAAGCAGACCATCAGGCGAACCAGCTGACTTTCTCCAAATGCCAAACACACCTGTGCTGACCAACCACGACTGCTCTCGGAACCAGCTTCACTTAACAGCCAAGCCGGGCCCAGGAGCGTGGACGAGGGTGTCCGCTGGGGCTCTAGGACACATCAAATGCTGGCAGTCATCAAGGGATCATGAGGAGACTGGCTAAATACGTCCTCCTGACAGACAAGCCCAACTGACAGAAGGCAATGGCATCAGCGCCATCTTAAAACAGCGAAGCAACTGCAGAACTGTCCCGCGTTAGTCGGGAAATGCTCAACAGCCATAAACACAGACAAGGGCGGGCACTCCACCCCCACAGCACGGTGGACTCGTCTGTGGGTGCTTCCATGTAGAGGGGAGTCCGAGAGGACACACTACAAACAGAAGTCATTTCTGCAGAGTGCGCTTAGGCAGCAGGGGGACTTTTACACATTTCAGAGTACTGTTTTGTTGTTTTGAATCAGGGTTTCTCTGTGTGTGGCCCTGGCTGTCCCGGAACTCGCTCTGTAGACCAGGCTAGCCTCAAACTCAAATGAGATCCGCCTATCTCTGCTTCCTCAGCGCTGGATTAAAGGCGTGTGCACCACACCTGGCCGAGAGTACTGTATTTTTTAATCTTTGAGAATAATATATAGTGTACTGGCTAGTTTTTAGGTCAGCTTGATACAGGCTAGAACCATCACTAGAGAGAACCTCGGCTGAGGAAATGCTCCCACCAGCTTGGCCTGTGATGCATTTTCTTGATTAATGATTGACTGAGGAGAGCACAGACCTCTGGCTGGGGCCACCACTGGGCACAGTCCTGTGTCCTGGAAGAAAGCAGACTGAGCAAGCTATAAAGAGTAAGCCAGTAGACGCTCCCTCCATGGCCTCTGCATCAGCTCCTGCCCTGCTTGAGATCCTGTCCTGACTTTCCCTGACTTCTGGAGTGTGATCCAGAAGCATAAGACAAAATAAACCCTTTCTTCACCGAGTCACTTTTGGTAATAGTGTTTTATCAAAGAAAAAAGAATCTCTAAGAAACATAGTGCTTTTGAAATTTAAGCAGTGATATCATGTGCTTTGGAGAATCAGGCTGGCTTCTCATGGGGGAAAGTAATGACACCATCTCTAATGTTTCAGTAATAATAGCATATGCCAGCAATGTTCTCTCTCTTTGTGTGTGTGTGTGCAGAGAAAGAGAAGGACAGAGAAGCCACTGTGACAAATGGTGACTCCTGGTGGCTCAAAATGAAGGACACATAGACTTCACTGACTACTCCTGCAACTTTTGACTATGAAATATTCTCAAAATAAAGTCAGATGTAATATAAATTAAGTCAACTGAAAGGCAGAGTCCTGGGAAGCCCCCTGCAGACCAGGGAGTGGAGACCCAGAAAGACCTTCAGCATATGGGCAGAGACCTGGCCCCCAGAAGGGACAGGATTTTAAAACAGGTTTAAATGGCTTTATTTTCTCCACGATTTTTCCTCCCAAAGAGCCAATGTCCTTATACTACCGAGAGATCCCAGGACTTAGACCCAGAAAGCGACACTAGAGTCTGTGGTCTCATTAGAGAACGCCTCCACTGTCTAGTGACACCCGGGACACTTGTGCAGTCCAGCTGGGCCCACAGTTCAAAGGTCATGGCTTGAGACAGAGCTTCCTCTCATGATGCAGTCACTGGGGGCTCAAGGTACGCCCGTTCTGGATAGGGCGTCTGGTAGGAGCTGTCACCTCCGGTGATCTGCGCCAATGGCCTCTGTGACTGTGTTAAAACCCCGCTCTCTGGAAAGAAAACAAAGTCTGTCGTCAGGAGTCCCACGCTTGCCATGGGCACGCTGCTTGCCACACCGCCCCACCCAGCACATCTTATGACCACTACTCTGCCCTCACCCAGGCCCCTGCACCCGTCTGCCCGGGCCTTTATACCGCAGTTCCCGGACACTAGTCAATGTCAATTCACTACCTGCCTCGTTCTGCTAGGATTCCTCCATCCCTGGTCCCTGGGCAAGCGGCAGGCCCTGCCTTGTAATGAGCTCCGCCTCAGAATCACTGAATTCCCTTGGCACTGTTTGTCCTGCTGTCTGTGTTTCCCTCCAGCCCTCTGGGCGTGCACAACAGACGGATGGCCAGTGTCTCTGACCAACTTCCCGGTCAGGCTGCGTCAAGCCCCACTCACTTTAGAAGTGCCTCCAGCTCACGCTTGACCCTGACCACGACAGGCGGCCCCAGGAAGGTGAGGGCCGTGTACAGCTGTACCAGGGAGGCCCCTGCCTGGATCTTCTCCAGCGCATCCTGCCCGCTGCTCACACCGCCAACCCCGATAATGGGAATCCTTCCTGGAGAGAAGCACACAGCACGGCCAGGGAGGCAGGTGTAAGGACCCAGGTGTCCATCAGGGAGGCGGGTATAAGGACCCAGGCGTCCACCAGGCCTTGGTCCTGGCAAATGCAGCGGACGAGGGAAGAACCAGGGCCTCGGGAGCCTAAGGAAGCCTTGCCTTGAGTGAGGGCGTACATCTCCCGGATGGTCTGCGTTGACAAATCTCGGAGTGGCTTCCCACTCAGTCCTCCCACCTCAGAGCGCAGAGCACCTTGTAGGCCGGTAGGGCGACTCACTGTGGTGTTTGTGACAATCAGTCCATCGATGCCCAGCTGCAGCGTGAGACAGAGAAAGCGCCTCAAGCCATGGATCTGAGGGACTCAATGAAACTGTCTCTTTTGAGGACTGAGGCAGCCAGCAGGACAGGGGTCAGTTCTGTAGGGCAGGACCCTCATGGTCTCACCCACACCTTGACTGGAGAGACGTATCAGAACGAGCCTCTCAGTGTGACACAGCAGTGTCTCACAGTGAGCCCATGACAGCGCCTAAGCAGGGTTTGACCTTAGCTGTCTGGGAGTATCTCAGGGAGTACGTGGTAGCACCAGGACTGAAATCCAGGACTGCTGGACTGCGTTCCTACCACCCTGTATAGCCGGAGAAACCTGCTGTTGGGACTGGCTGGAAAGGGACAGACGTGAGACTGACAGACAGGCTAGCGCAGGTCTTAGACCTTCTGGATGAAGACAGATCAGAAGCAAGAAAAAGACTCGCCAAACACATTTCACTCACCGGGTGAACTATACAGTGACAGACAACCAACCAGCCTTCCACTCCACATAGAGGATGTCACCAACCAGCCTTCATTTTGTGTTATCCCAGCAGCAATGGACGACGGAGGCTACCCCCACCCTACCTGGGACCACCCTGACTCAAACCTCTCTCGCCACACTGGCAATGTCCTCCTTGTCCTGGGCCGTGAGGTCAGGGGCGATCTTCACCAGCACAGCCGGCTTCCGCACTCCCTTCAAGGCGTCCCTCTCCTGCAGCACCTAGGAAGACAAGCCAGAGATGGGGACCCCAACCCCACAGCCCGGCAGTGCGGATCGGCGTTTTCACATACGGTCAACTAAAGCACAAGCCGTTTCTCCCCTCGGGATAACCGCTCAGGTTGGTTTTGTTCCTGAAAACAAGGAGATGTGTCACAAGGACTAGGCAGTGAGCACTCATTCTGTTCACACACAGTGCTGCGGACAGGGTGACACCCGAGAGCCGTGCCAGCTCTGGCTGCCTGTGGTTTTACAGCAGTTGACTGCCTACTGGTATAACTGGGGATGTGAGAGATGAGACGGTGCCTGGAAAAGGTACGATGAGGGGTCCTAGGCCAGATGTGAAGAACAGCTTCGCCAGAAGGATGGAACCGAGCAGGAACATGTGATAGTGTAATGACTCACCTTGGCCAGCAGGAGGCGCAGCTCAGTCTTTCCCTGGAGGCTCCTCAGGCCAGCAGTGTTGGGACTGGACACGTTCACCACGAGGTAGTCAGCCAAGGGGCCCAGGACACGAACGCCCTCTACATAGTCTGCAGCAGCATCCACCGAAGTCTTATTCTTCCCCAGGTTGATTCCCAGGGGCAGCCCATCTGTGAAGAGCAAGTTTCCCAGGCAACATTTTGAGTACAGGTGGGACACTCCTGAATCGGCTGACGGAGAAGGTTCATTCCGGGGGCTGCTGCCTGATGGCTGAGAGCCGCTTCATCATCTGTCTCTATGACAAGTGTGTGCACATACAAGGATGCTTCTGGCATACTAAGCCTTTTATCTTTTTAATTAAATAGAGAAATTAGAAGCCTAAATACTGGGAAAAAAAGCAGAAAAACAGGAGGAAGCTGTGCATGGTGGGCACTCATAGGCACAGTTCTCAGGTGTAGGTAAGAAAATCAGAAGTTCAAGGTCATCCTTAGCAACATAGCAGGTTCAAGGTCAACCAGGGCCGCCTTCTCACAGCCCAGCACCTTCTTGGTCACCAGTTTAAAAGTCAGATTTCTGTAACATTTCCTAAGTGGTCTCGAAGCTTCAAGTCCAGCACCCAGCAGGCCAGGATCACTTGTGAGCTTTAGCTTCCTGAGTACCTGGGCCTGACACTGTGCTCACCCCTGCACGGGCACGATTCCGCAGTGAGGAAGGCTGAGCTATTCTTTACACAGAGCACCGTCTCTTCTATCAGCTCGTGTTCCTAGGCCTGGTGCTGGCAGAAAGCGTCTACAAGGCCGCTAGCTGCCAGCAGATGCCTGTGGGCAGGGCACGGACATGGGACTTGGCCTCACTCCAATGAATGTGAGGGCACAGACTGAGGGTGAAGGGTAGACATGGGACAATGACGAGAAAGCCAGCCCACAGAGAGAGCACTGGGGGCATTGAAAAGAAGAGATGGAAGGCAGGAGGCAGGAGAACACCACAAACCACGGACATCATGTTAAGACCTTCACAGTTGCAGGGCTGGCAGGGTCTGGTTCTGTCAAAGCCAGGATTGTTCTGTTTTCTGGTTTCTGTTTTGTTTTGTTCTGTTTGTGTTTTTGTTTTAGGGTTTTCTTTGTTTCTTTTTCAAGACAGGGTTTCTCGACCTCACAGGGATCCTCCTGCCTCTGTCTCCCAAGTGCTGGGATTAAAGGTGTGCGCCAGCACCACACGGCCAAAGCCAGCGGTTTTTAAACACTGTCATTCCCTATGTCCACCATCTGAGCTTGCCAAATGCTTCAGCCCTTTCTTCCTTAGCTCCTCAAATAAAGACCGAAGTCCTTGGCTTAACCTTCAAGCTATAGGCCATCAAATGAGACTAGGACCTCCTGAAAGACATTGTCGAGGCAAAGGAGAAAAGCCCCCAGAACTACAGAAGGTATGTGAGGAGCGGGGAGCTATGGGTAGAGGGCCACCACCCAGGGCTCTGACCCCAAAATGCACCTCTGAGAGCAAAGCAGACCACAGAGGACAAAGACATCTCCATGAAAAGCCACCAAAAGCGAGGCCTGAGGACAGCTGGTCCCGAGTGGGTAGGCGTGAGACACCTCTGAGGACAGCTGGTCCCGAGTGGGTAGGCGTGAGACACCTCTGCCCTGCTCTTTAGCTCGTAGCGCACACCATTTACACAATGAACGAAAGGACAGCTGCGCTGCACGTGTGCAGATGCACTCGGGTCACATCTTAGCTACCCACATGCTCTCTGCTGACCCCAAGCCCCCAAGTTAGGACACAATCCAGGTTCCATGAGTGCCGGAGACCAGAAAGGCCGTGCTGAATTCTGACAGCCGTTATGGCCTTTGAGGCTGAGGTGGAAGCTGGACAATCCCCAAAAGAGAGGAGCCTGAGTGGCTTTGTGTGGTTTTTATTGTCTGTTTCCTATCACTGGGTCGCATGCCCTCCCCCTGTATTTCTCTGTATAGAGGAAGAGAGACCCTCCCATGACTCCCGACTTTACCTGCAGTGAGCTTGATCTGCTTCTGCTGTCGGGCCCGCAGCCTGTGTTCCACCACCGAGAGCCCGTGACTGTTGAATCCGTACCTGGTGCACATAAACACACAGGAAAGGGGTGGAGTTAGAGATGACAGCTGGAAAAAGCACCCGAGACCATTTCCACGCCCTCACACCGGCTCCTCTCTATTGTCAAATGGGTGGGAGTTAGAGTCACCATGGAAAAACACCTGTGGTGTGCCTGTACGACTGTTCCCAGGAAGGTTGAATGGAGCAGGGAGGACCCACCACAAACACGGGCAGCACCATCCCACAGGCTCACAACCCAAACCGAGTAAGGAGAAAGTGACCCAAGCACCAGCATCCTCCACCTCCTGCTTCTTCACTGCAGGTGCAAAGTGGCCCTCTGCCTTAGGCTGCTGCCACCAGGAGGGCTTGTGCCCTCAGACAGAGAGCCAAAATAAACACCCCTTCCTTAAGCTGCTTTTTGTCAGAACTCTGTCCCAGTAACAAGAATGATAGCTAACGGGGTCTGGTTACATCACTTTGTAGCTTGCAGCCAGAGCAACGCAGCATGGGCAGTGACCGTGATCTGCTGGCGCAATAAATACCCATCCTTCAGCATGTCTGTGCTGAACACATGCCACGGACATGAGCAAGAAGGCTAAGTGTGCATGCGTCCAGGAGCACAGATGCCTGCCCCTCACCACTCCCTGCCCCACGGGGCTCTGCCAAGTACATTACCCAAAGTCTCATGGAACAGCCAAATCAGAAACACAGGTATTTTGCCTGCCCAGCCCTAAAGACACTGGTCCCTGCCATAATGCAACAGAAAGATCTATGACCTGTCGAGAAGCTTTCTGAAATAAGCAGTAGGAAGCATGGCCACAGGTCTGCCGAAATCCTCACCAGGAAGCTCTCCAAAAATCTCCCAGCAAAAAGTATGAAGGTCTTCCCTTTGCAGTTACCCTAAGCACTCAGAACCATGAAGGCTGAGGCTTCACGCAGTCGGAAGGACTCCTCCTCCTAAGAGCAGCCGTACATGCTGAACACTCCGTCCTTGTTCATCCAAAGCAAGGGTCAACTGTGCAGTACCAAGGCCGCTGGCAGCATGTGGCCACCAGCTCTGCCCAAGTCAGAGGACCCAGAAGTAAAGGCACGTGGGTGCCGGAGGACCAGAAGCCAATAAAAGGGGAGTGTAGTTAGCCAATGATTTTTACATCGACTGCATGTTAAGATGGTTTTAGAATACACTGTTTATAATTAAATCTTAATAATTATAAGTATCAAATTCATTCCTTTTTCCAGTTTTTAATGTAGTTATGAGAATATTTCAAATTACAAGTGAGATCATTATATTCCTATAGGCCAACCCTGGACCAGGGCAATGGAGTAACAATGTAGAAAAGTGCACACTGTCAAGTCCAGGCCTTTCCCAGCTGATCTTTGCAGCCAGCACCAGCTCTCAGAGCCTCAGCAGGAACACCTGATACAATCCTAACAGCTGTTTTCCAAGACTGGGGTGAGTGCTGCCTCCTGTTCAAAAGGGCTCCTGAATACTCCAAATGATTGAATGTCCTTCCATCTTAGGAGAAAAGCAGAAGGCGGGTCTTCCATCTCAGAGATTCCAGCAGGGGAGGAGATACTCCCCCCAACACTGAGCCACCCCCTACCTGTTAATGACAGCTTGGTCCTCCGGGAGGCGGAATACTCTGGGTCTGGGGTTTCCTTCCTGAGGCTGGGGAGTCACACTTCCGACCTCAACAAAACCAAAGCCCAGCTTGTAGAGGCCATCCACAGCTTCCCCATGTTTGTCAAATCCTGCAGCAATCCCTACTGGATTTCGGAATTTACGGCCCAGGACTCTCACTTCCTAGAAAGGAGACAAGGACAGAGGTGTACATGGCTACACCAAGTGGTTCTCACAGCAGGACTCCCAGCATCCTGCATCAGAAGTCCCCTAGAGCTTGCTGAGCATCAGTGGGCCCACAGAATAGGGATCTTTGGGAGGAAGGACACTCTGAGGTGTCTATCTGCAGGTGCTTCTGATGTCTGCTGGAGTCTGACACCAGAGGCCTCAAGGCTGAGGGAGAGGCCTATGCCACCACAGGAGAACAGGAGACAGGTGCTATCCTGCACAATTATGGTGGCTCTTCTTATCTATTCAACCTGGGCAGGAGAAGGAGTCCTTGGGTATCGTCAGCCTTTAGGTCATGCTACTCGGACACCAGTGAGTACCACGCAGCCGAGCCTGCCACCCGCCTCTAGTATACAAGCCCCAGTTGACCCTTCCTCCATGACTGACCAGAAGCCAGCAGCAATGGGCATCATGGAGAGTTGGAGGGAGGACACTGGCCGGCACTGGTGCTGGTTCCAGTGAGCTCTTAGAGGTCAGGTGAGTGTCCCCAAGGGGAAAGTCACATGGTCTTGAAATCCACAGGAGACGAGAAGCAGCACAAGGAAGGTAAGAATGTGCACGCAGCACCTCAGAGCCACGAGGCGAGAAGTGCGGCTCTAACAGGCCCTCGAGCCGGTTCTTGTCCCTGGCTGTGTGACAGAGCCTGCGGCGTTGTCAAGCTTCTCTGAGATTATGGTTAAACTGGTCAGTCAGGAGACCTGGGCAGCCAAGCATCCCAAAAGCACCCCCACCCTCCCAGGAGAGCCGAGTCAGGACAGGGAACTGAAGCCTTGGGCAGAGTACTAAATCGAGGGAAGTAAAGTGCAACTGGCCTGGCTGCCGGGAAGCAGGGACCACCGCACAGTGGAACATACTGTATGGTCCCACTAACTCAGGAAGCTGAGGCCCAGAAATCATTTGAACCCACAAGTTCAAGATCAACCTGGACAACATGGACCCCTCTCAAAAGAAAAAGGGTATGCTGGGCGGTGGTGGCATAGTCTTTGATCCCAGCACTTGGGAGGCAGAGGCAGGTGGATCTCTGAGTTCGAGGCCAGCCTGGTCTACAGAGTAAGTTCCAGGATAGCCAGAGCTATACGGAGAAAACCTGTCTCAACAAAAAAAGAAAGAGAGAGAGAGAGAGAGAGAGAGAGAGAGAGAGAGAGAGAGAGAGAGAGAGAGAGAAAGGTAGCATCCAGAGAAAGAGATAGCAGAAGGGCCACACTGACTCTGGGCCAGAGAAGTGAGTTGTGACTAGATGTGACTGGGGCAGGTGGTTACCTTGGACTTAAGTCCTCCACCCCCTCAGGATGATGACTACACCCAGGGCCTGCTTCTGGTGGGGTGGGGGGAGAAAGGACCAGCCTGGCCGGACTGCAGTATCCTCCTGACCCTTCACACCTACCTAGACAGAGGACATAGTATCTAAAAGAAATGACCCTTCCCAGCTAACATTGCATGCATTAGCTGTTTAACAACTACAAAAGATGTCCCTGCTCAGCAGAGGGATTTCAGCAAGGCAGGCCAGTGGCCAAGGTTGGACACTGGAGTCAGACTCCATGGGTTTGAATCCTGGTCCTGCCACCTCCCAGCTGGATGACCTTGGGCAAGTTTCCTGCTCTGCGGATGGAGATGAGATAGGACCAACCTCAAACAGCAGCGGTGAGGATTAAAGCTGTGAGCATAGGCTACGTGGTGAGTGCTCTTCCATAAGTTCAGGAGACGCTTCCTCAGCCTGGGCTCCAGGTCCCAGCTGCCTGCGGACCTGCAGCTCTGGTTTTCAGAAGCGCAGTTGCAGCAGAGGACACAAGCACTGAAAGATGTGACCTCTCCCACACACCTAAATGTAACACAGTGTGACCCAGGGACACCTACCAGCATGTCAGAGTCCTGAAACGGAGCTCGAGGAAGGAGCCCCAGGGACGTGAAGCGAACAGCGAGGCGGTGGGCTGATTCTGGGTCTAGCAGCCTCTGCAGGGCCGGCATGAGGTATTCCGCGTAGAAATGGTCATCGCCCGTGGCTGTCAGGTAAGAGGTGAAGAGAAGTCCTCCGCCTCCGAGGATGATGGCCGCATCCAGGGCCCGCTTCTAGTGGGGGAAAAGAAAGGCTCCGTGGAGACCCTCATCAGGCCAGGCCGCAGCACCCTTCCTTACCCTGAGGACATTACATCTACATGAATTGAGAGCCCTTCCCTGCTCACACTGCCCCCCTTCATAGCCTGCCCACTCACACACCAGCCTTTGTAGACGCAGTACCTACATTGCTTTCACAGAGTCTAGTCCTGAATAGTTTTTTTTCCTAAGAACCAGCCAGGAAATTTTCAAGATAGGGGCCACACGGGAGAATTTTTACTAGTTAATGAAGAAGGGACAATGCTGATAGATTTGGCATGGAGAAATCAGTCCTGTCAATATTCTTCTTTGATTAAAGTTAACACACTGATTTCCCTATGTTTGAACTTGCTATTGCTATTTAGGCAGGTTTAAAAAAAACTTCCTATTATCTGAGCCAAAGAACAAGATGTAGTTCACCACCAAACATTCACTCCCCACATTTCACAAATATACGGTAACTTTGCCAGAAATATAAGTACCTTTTGTTTTTTTTTTCAAGTCAGGGTTTCCCTGTAATAGTCCTGGCTGTCCTGGAACTAGCTCTGTAGACCAGGCTGGCCTCAAACTCACAGAGATCCACCTACCTCTGCCTCCCAGAGTGCAGGGATTAAAGGTGTGCGCCGTAACTGTCCGGTGGTACCTTGTAATTTAAGGACAACTGTGCAGTGTGCTAAAAACATTACAAAAGAATCAGTCATCATTCCTAAAAGCCCACCAGAAAGGGCGCCCTGTGTTGTGTGTGCACCAGTGGACCCCTTCTATGTAGAGGCTCAACACCTGACCATCAGCCAGGCCTTGGTGGCGCACACCTTTAATCCTAGCACACTCTAGAGGCTGAGGCAGGCAGATCTCTGTGAGTTCAAGGCCAGTCTTGTCTACAAGAGCTAGTTCCAGGACAGGCTCTAAAGATACAGAGAAACCACGTCTCAATAAAAAAATAAATAAATAAAAATAAAAAAATAAAAAAAAAAAACACCAAAAACCTGTAGGTGAATTGTGTTCTGAAATTCATGTTTTCATTTAGCCTTTATTAGCACATGGTGCTTATATTTTGAAAGTATACCAGTTACTGGTCTGAAATGTCCTTTGTGTATAATACAAAAGTGGCTACAATATAAACATAGCTTCACTCTTTGGGGAGAGAATCACTACTCCGGAGCCCAAAAGTGGTTCACAAGGCTTTTTGATAATTAGCACCACCAGATGCTAAGTGGCTAATGCATTCATTCAGTCCTTCAAAAGCAAGCAAACCAGAGTTGGTCCCTGTCCTTCAGAAGAGTGTAACCTAAGGAAGACACAAATCAATCATCATGAGCCAAGGAAACTGACACGAAGGAGAAAGCAATGGAAGCATCTTGAGGAAGTGAGTTAAGCTGACTCTCAACGGAGACATAAAAGCTAAAGAGCAGGAAGCAGGCGGAGATGGAATCTCTAGGGGGCTGAAGCCAAGGAAGGGCCAGAGAATGGAGATCTGTGTGGAACTAAAAGGAAAGCATTGCTTAAAATGAAGCAGGAGAAACGAAACTTGCTGCTCGTTCCGTGTCAGACAGCTCACCACCAGACCTGTAACTTGAGCTTTAGGGGCTCCAACACAGCTGGTTTCAGGGGGCACCTGTATTCACCCTTCCACCCCTCCCCACACCTACACATAATTTTATTTTTTAATGGGATTTGTTCACTAAACAAGGAAGTAGAGGATGTGCTCAGATTCGCCCACAACAAACCAGGTATTCATTCTCCCTCCTCCAGGGAGTTTGCAGAAATGTCTCACGTCTCAGGCAGCACTATCTGCGCACTCTTTCCCAAACCAGGAACACAACCAAGGACTCTTCACACTGGGCTCCCATTTTAAGCACACTGTATCTAGAAGGGTGGCCGCACGTCTTATTTCATTCTGTCCTGGATCCTTCTACAAGGATAAACGACCACGTGCTCACAGAGGACCGATACTAGCTCAGTTAAAAAAAAAAAAAATGCCATCGATCGCTCATGCTCAGACCAGCTTCTGCCAGGCACGCTTGCTTTTGGCATGCCCCTAGCTGCGCACCCGTGCAAGACACGCTGCAAGGGCCCCAGCCTTTCACGCTTCCCGGCTCATCTCCTCCCATCCTGTGCTCCGACCACGCGTGAACTCCCACGGCAGGACTCACTCGCAACTGTCTCCACGCCATGCTCCTTCGGCCACTGGACCCGCCTCTGCCTCCACTCCATTGGAGAATGTGGGCTCAGCTCCACCTATCTCCCCAGCCCTGCCTGCCGACCCAGCCCCACCCCTAGATGTTGAGTGGACGGTCGCACGCGTACGTTCTGCCTGGAACCGGACCTCTTCCGTCCCTCCGTCGCCGTGTTCTCTTTTACCAGTATCATGCTTTCTGAGGAATGCTTGCTACTGCGCCGAGCTTGTCCGAAATTCCATACCTTCCCTTCTGTGCATCAGTGAGGAAGAGGTTTCCAGAAGCCTCTGGAGTAGGGAATAGACATCTCCGAAGTCTGCAGACTCAAACGCCAGTGTCCAGCAGTGTGCATTACCCTAATGCTTTCCTACCTTTCGGAAGGAAACAAAGGACTATAGCCCGAAGGTTCCGCATGATTGTCTTTATGCCAGAGCTTCGGTATGACTGTCAACTTAAGAATTCTGTTTTATAGAGCGCACTCATGCCAGAACGTTGTAAACAATAAATACATAAATTTTTACTCCCCACTTTAGGTCATAATTTGGGGCAAGTTGGGAGAGACTGCTGAGATGGCTCAGCTCTTAACATTTGCTGGAGAGGATCCGAGTTCCCGTCCAAGCACCCAAACAGGTGGCTCACATCTGCCCGTAACTCCTATTCTTCGTTTCCTATTCTTCGTTTGCACATACCCACATGCAGACACATTCACCTACACATGATTTAAAATGATTAAATCTTAAGTCTATTCTGCATTTGAGGAAAAAAATCTATTTGGCTTTTGGAGATTGGCTTGCCTCACTTAACATGATCTTCAGTCCCATATATTTTCCTGTAAATTATCTCCTTTCAGTCTTTTTAATGGATGACTATTGTTCTACACCTATGTATACCATATTATCTTTATCTGTTCTTCTGTAGCAGATTCCATAACTTGGCTGCTGTAAATAGCGCTGAGTGTGTGTGTGTGGGGGGGGGGGGGGGGCACAGTACCTCTGTTGTGTGCTAGGTATATTCTTTTGGGAGTATACATATTCCTAGAAATGACATAGCTAGGACTTTTTGATGGTGATTCTGTCTATTGGTTGCTTTTAAATTTTTCTTCCGTGTGTGAGAGCTCAGGTACCAGCCTGCCATGGCAGACATGTGGAGCCCAGAGGACAGCTTTCAGGACTCTGTTCTCTCTGCCTTGTTGAAGAGCAGGACCGCTCTTGTTTCTGCAGCACTGCATACTCTAGGCTAGCAGGCGATTCTGTCTCTATCTCTCTACTCCTGCTGAACATTTCTTCATATGACTTATTGGCCATTCATGCTACTCTAGAGACTTGTCTGCTCATTTCATTTGCCCATTTATTGATTAGGTTACTTGGGGAGGGCTGGTCTTTATGTTCAGTGCTTTTTATATGCTAGATATTAGCCCACTGTCAGATAGGTAGCTGGCAAGGCTTTTCTCTCGTACTATAGTCTGTTTCTTACTCTCGTAACTGTTTGCTTTGCCAAACAGATTTTTAATCTCATGATTTTAAATTTCTTCCAATTGCCAATCCTTGCCATTTCCTAGGTTAATGACTTCCCATCCACAAAGTCCTTGCCAATGCCTAAATCTTGAAGATTTATACAAACCTGCAGGCCCTAGACCCTAGGGGCATGGACTTGAAAAAGGGGAACTCACCCAGACAAAGCCAATCTTAGCCTGGCAGAGAGCACAGGCAAGAAGATCATTTTCCAACACGTAGCCCTGGGCCACGTCTCGGTGGGACCTCTAGATATTTAGTTTTTTCGGCCTGAAAAACCTCTCCACCTGTGCAATAATCCAAATCAAACCAAATCACACAGAATTAGAAGTCCAGGTTTAATGGATGCTAACACTCCTAGGTGGCCCTCCGGGAAAACAAGGGAGAAAAGGGGGGGGGGGGATCAGGAAGACCGTGGAGAACCAGAAAGAGCGTGTGTTAGTTCTCTGGGGGGGGGGGACAGTTTAAATAGCCTGTGGGAGTGGTCTTGACCTTCCCTGGGGAGAGGTCACCATTTGGCAGGCTTTCTTGGAGGTGGAGTTTGGACTGAGGCAACTCCCAGAGGAGGTGGCTTGAAATGGAATTTTCCACCCAGTGTTCCAAAATGGATGCCAGTAGCTGGGGTGAAGCCCCCAACCAAACAGTGAGCTGCCATGTGGATGCTGGGAATTAAACCTGAGTCCTCTGGAAGAATAGCCAGTGTTCTTAACCAATGATCCATCTCTCCAAGCCCCCACTCCTCAAGGTACTTTAAATATAGGCTTATATTATCTGTAGACAGGGATAATTTGGGTTCTCCTCTTCCTGTTTGTAGCTCTTTTTCTTTTTCTTGCCTCTAGTGCTATACTGAATAAATCTGGTGCCTTAGTTCGGGTTTCTAGTTCTGCAATGAAACACCATGACCAAAGAAACAAGATGGGGAGGGAAGTGTTTATTGGGCTTAACTTCAGCATTGCTGTTCATCACTGAAGAAAGTCAGAAGAACTCAGACAAGGAAGGATCCTGGAGGCAGGAGTTGATGCAGAGGTCATGGAGGGATGCTGCTTACTGGCTTGCTCCTCATGGCTTGCTCAGCCTGCTTTCTTATAAAACCCAGGACCTCCGACCCATGGATGACACCACCCACCTTGGGCTGGCCCTCCCCCATTGATCACTAAGTGAGAAAATGCCTTAGAGCTGGATCTCATGAAGAATTTCCTCAACTGAGGCTCCTTCTTCTGATGACTCCAACTTGCATTGAGACACAACACCAGCCAGTGCAGCCGGGAAGAATGAACACCTCTTAATCCTCCCTGAATTTAGAGGAAATGCTTTCCGTGTTCCCCACTTGAATATAGGTTTATCACACGCAGCCTTCAATTTTTCTTAAAGAAATCATGAATGTTTATAGGATCCCTTCCATTTCCTTCTGCATTGGTGCTTCTGTGGTTGGGAAGTGGATAAGTGCACTTGTCCTGTGAGGTCGCCACAGCTCCATCAGCACCGGCAGATAACATTGTTGGGTCTAGTCATCTTGGTTATTTGCTCCAGGAATGATATTATCATCCCATGCCCTCCTGGTCCTCAGGGTTTCTCTGCATAGTCTGGGTGTCCCCATGAGTTTGTCTTTGTGAGTGAGACAACCTTTTGCTCCTGGTTCTTCTCAATGCATTACTCACCAGAACCTTCTTCCTCTCATCATTAAGTACAATAATTTCCATTTCTTCCCGAATTAGACGTTTTCAAAGTATGGACCAGATGATGCCCTTCACTAGGATACTGCAGTGTTTTCAAACTAAGGGGATAGATCCTCAGCTTCCGACTTCAGAGATGTCTGTTTCCACAATGGTTTTCAAACTCATAAGGGCATTAAGAGCTGAGGATATGGCTCCATGGTAGAGTTCATGCACGGGGCCCTGAATCCCATCCCAGTAACACGCACACTAAAAACACAGGTGAAGAGAAAAGAAGCATTATTTGGGTTGCTTAGATGACCATCTCAACTCTGAAAGCTGCCAGGCGGTTCAGTACTGTATTTGCTTGCTTCTATGATCATGTACAAAAGAAAAAGACCAGCTGGACAAATCAACGAAGGGTGTGCCACAGGTGGAGGCCAAGGGGTAAGCTCTGTAAACACAAAGGTTTTTCAGCGAACCAATAATCCAAAAGAAATGAGGGAATTGAAGTTTCCCAATGGCGTGAAGTACTGTGCATGCCTCAGGCAAAGGAGACAGTGCAGTCATAAGCCAGAACCACACAGATTTGCTGTTGGGTTCAGCCAAGTGTGAGCTTCATTGGTTTCTAGTTTTGTTTGCTTTTTTTTAAAATTCATTCTTTCATCAACTGTTTAATCTGGCTTTAATGACTAGGTAAGATCTTTAAAATACAGTTCACGTGTGCTTTTGGTTTTGTGCACTTAAACAGAATACAGCCATCTGAATCAATCCCAATGGTGGCAAATATGGAGGACATGCAAGCCCGGAGATTTATCGGCGATGATATTTATGTTCTTACCCATCATGGAGCCCTGCTGCATGCGTAGATTCCAACTGCTCTGTCACAAAAGCATGTTGGAGGGTAGCTCTGAGATGACAGACATGTTCATTTGCTTTACTACATTGCATTAGCGCGTGTGTCCTGGAATACCGTCCATCCTTTATAGAATGTGTACTATGATAATCCACACTAACGATATGCTAATGAGATTCACTGTAGCATGTCCATACCCGAATCTATCCTATTTCAGTCTGGTTCCTACTCCTGTCTAAGCTGTCTTAGCTTCTCCTTCTCCTCCCTCTCCCTAGTCTCCTGAACTTTCCATAGTGTTTCCTCTACTGGCTTCTGGTAGCCTTTAAGTTCTAGCCTCTAGAAAGAAAGTGTGAGAAAATGCGTGGTAATTGATCAGCTGCATCTGATTTATTTTGCTTAGCATGAAAACCTCCAGTTCCATCCATTTCCTGACAAATGGCATGGTCCCATCCTTCCTGACCAAATAGACTCTGCTGTGTATGTCCACCATCTCTTCTTTAGTTGGTCATCCGGGCCGATGTTGTGGCTTGGCTGTGGCAAATGGTACTCAGATCAACACGGATACACAGGCTGTCTTCTCGATGCTGACTTCACTCCCTTTGTGTACACACCTAATCCTGGTATAGCAGGGTCACATAGCAGTTCCTGGGCAATCTGACACCTTCATACCATTGCACATAAAATAAAGTTAAATCAATCATAAGAAAGAACAATCTGCTTCTGTGGGGGACAGTTTATTCTTTCTTCTATTTCTGTGACACTCGGTCAATCCCTGTCTAACAAAGGATGCTTAGCAGTTCTCCCATATATATA